CACCCCCACCCCCAAAACCAATTAAATCAAATGCTTACAACTAAAATTCAAAATCACAACATGGAGTAGGAGATGAAAAACATACTGATCCATACCACAAAGCATGATATACAGTCCCATATAAACCTGTAAAAATATATAGTTCTAGTCTTAATTTATCAAATGTCTTAAATTAAAATTACCTTCAAATTCAATTTAATAAATATCTACTTTTGTTTCTAATACCTTGGTGTAGATGTTGCTCTCTAATGTTCAAGTCCTCCAACAAGATTTCATAATACCGACTGTCAGTCTCTCCTTCCTCTCTACTTGAGCTATGATTATCATGTAACGAAGAAAACCACTACCCTGAATCCTCTATCTCAAGTAATTCTCCATTTTCCATATTTTCCTTAATCTGTAATTCATTAAACAAGACTTATATCTCAAACTTTATATTAAAAAGATGAACTAAATCTAAATTGAAAATCTACAACTTACTTGATATTTAAGTGCGTTTTCAAGTTCTCTCACGATTTCAATCAACTTTTTGGAGATTGTTGTAACCGATATTCACCTGGTGCAGTCTTCAATTAGATCTAAAGCCAATGATGGAAAATATCAAAACATCATAAACTATGTGTTGCTTCAAGAAATAAAAGAAAGTATCAAAACCTCATAAGTTATTAGAACATCCTTCAATGGAACAACCACCAATGTTTTTTTTTTTTTGTAAATTTGTAGTTAAATCCAGCAAGCAAGCTCTAAAAAAGAAGCCAAAAATCCAGAATAAACAAAAGAGCTACTTGATTATCGATGACAATGTCTGCAATCCGTTTCTTGACATCTCGAAAGACTCATAAAAATCACAAATCGGAACCAAATCTAGTAACCAAAAACCCATATGAAGTTGGAGCAATTTCAAAATTGAGTTTTTTTACCTTGAGCAGCTTCAATGGGAGGTAGGTTTCTTTTGGTTACTACAACCGATGTTGAAGGGTTTGGGAGGAAATAAAACCTCCTACAACCCATGAATCGTGTTTGATACGGAGATTGATCCGCTTCATCTCATCTAGGTGTATATCTCATCCTAACGTGCATCCGAGGGTGGAGATCATTAAACCCAATCCTATGTTTGGTTTGTAGGATTGGTAGGATTTAAAATGGGGATTCATTTACAATCCTGTGATCGACGGATTTTTGAATCCTTTGGAAGCACATGGTTTTTAAAAAATCCATTCCCGTGGGATTTGTCTTGCCCTAGCTCACGTCTCCATCACATCCTCCATTTCTCCTTCATTTTCATCGCTCACCGTCTCCTCCAGCCTCCTCCATCGCCGTCTCCTAACTCGATTGTTTCCTAATAATTGYTGTACCTCACAAGTCACATTAATTGGTTGACCAACGGTATCTCGACCCTTAACTACGAGAGCGTTATAAATATTAGGCATTTTGCCTGGCGGAAAAGCTACATCTAGTACCGGACCAATGATTTGGGCTCCATCGCCGTCTCCGTCGATTGAGTACACTGTGGTCGTCTCCGGTCCGTAGCTTTCTTCCACGGTGGTCGTCTCCGTCGCTTTCTCCCACCATGGTCGTCTCCATCTCCGTCGCTTTTTCCCACGGTGGTCGTCTCCATCGCCGAACCTTTTTCCATTCTCATCAATTTCTGCTTATCGAAGATTTCTACTTACTTCGATTTCTGGTACGACTTCACAATATGATTTCTGTTCCGATTTGTACTTTGATTTCTGCATATTGTTTCCGATTTCTGCATATTGTACTTCGATTTCTGCATATTCTGTTCCGATTTGTACTTGCAATTTTTGCATCAATAGAACTTCATGTCATAGCTACACAAATAATTACTTAATAACAACCTCAACAAATTAGAATTCTACAAATAAATATGCATTTTGGATGAAAAAGTTTGATTGTTAATAGGTAGTTTTGAGAAAATGAAAGAGATTTTGTGACTAAAATAATTACAAATGAAAAAAAAAATCTCAATTCAAATCTTACAAATCAAACATGATTTATAAAGAAATATATTTCAAATCTAATTCAAATCCTGCAAACCAAACACATGAATGGATTTTAAATCCAATCCAATCTAAATTCCTCCTGCAAATCCAAATTCCTCAAAAACATTCTTGCAAACCAAACACACCTAAGGGATGCTAGGAGAAGGAGGGACCCAAGAGTAAAATGTGCAAACCACAAACCCTAAATTCATACTTATTTTAATTTTGGGACCTGACCCAAAAAAAAGTAAACTAAAGGGACCAAACATATATTTACAGAAGGTAGTAGGTACATTAACATATATTTCCAACCGTCGAAACCGCCAAAATTCACTCTCATCATCTGTTGCCATTCAGAAATTTTGTTCGTTATGCTCCCACAGTGTTCTCAAAATCCCTAATTTTTGGAGTAAAGCCCTTTTGAATTCTCCTTCGCATTTCATCATACATCGGTAAACAATATCGTCTCTCCCTGAATTTTTATTATGACATCTTCGATGGATGTTTTCATGGATTTTATCATTGTGGAATGTATGTGTAGTGTATCTTATTCTTAGTTTTCGTGTGTTTATCGGTTTATATGTGTGTATATTTATACACTTTCTTATGTGGATTTTGTTATGCAACATAAGAGGGTAGAGCGATAAAATTTTGTGGGGAAATGCCGTCCTGCATGAAGGAAGATGAAAGAATCGAGAACATCATTCGAGGTCTATTGAAGCTCTCACAGAATAGAAGATGCATTAATTGCAACTCTTTGGTATGTGGCTTCTTTTCTCCTATTTCCAAAATTTACGCCTTCATGTCTTAATAGGATAGGAAGAATCGGATGGTTTAGATTTTGGTCAATCCAAATATATTTCATCCATTTTCTTTCATGTTTGGATTAATGTTTTTTTTTTGAAGGATGTTTGGATTAATGTTATTGGAAATAGAAATGAGAACTTTTAAAATGTTTGATGTGTTCATGTTTCACAAACAAGTATATTATATCTGATGACAATGCAGCAAATGAGTGGCCAATTTGGACAATGATTTGATACCTTTTCATCATTTGTAATGGGGTAAATAACTCTTGCTCTACTGGAATAAACCTTTTTTTTAGGCATTTTGCTAACTTTTGAATGGAACTTACGCAAGACCTAGTAAACCGGATTTATTTTAAATGGAATAAACAATTTTCTGGTAACTGTTATTGTAAGCTTGATGATAGGATGTGACATAGCTTCTAAGTGGTTTTATCACCCAATTCCGTTTGTCCATCAGCTGCATTTGATATTGTCAATATTTCTTCAGCATGTCTCTTTAGATACAACAATGAACCAGTTTTGAGAAAGACAGAAATTACCATGAACGTTCTCTAGCCCCTTCTGTTTCCAGTAAAATAATCTTTGATCATCAACTGAAATTGTTGCTTATCTTCAGAGTTCTAGATGGAACTTTTTGCCATCGCAAATTCAGTAAATGTTATGTTAAATGCTACATCAATGCGCTACAGAATTTCATATGCATCTTAAAGGTTTATATTTGGTGGCAAAAGTCAAGTTGTGAGTTTCATGATGGGTGTGCTGTGAGCCTGTGAGGCATAGCCTATGTCACCTTCATCTTAGCATTACTTTAATTGGAGGAATTCATCCTTAGAATGCTTCCTTAAGATTGCTAACTATATGTAATTAGAAATGCATTGGTTTAACCAATGCATGAGAGGTAAGGAAAATTTTCTCTAGCATTTTGTATTGTCAATATTCCTTTCAGTTTTCTCATCAAATGTAATATGGTAAATCTTGCAAAAAGAAAAATAAAATTAATTAGTTTCATCATATTAAAAGTTTTTCATCATATATTTTGAGGTAAGTAGATGTAGATCCACATATATAACATTTAAATTAATAAGTCGATTTATTTCATCAAGCAGGGACCTCAATATGTCTGCACAACTTTCTGGACATTTGTATGCACCAACTGCAGTGGAGTGCAGTAAGTCCTTAAATTAGTTCTGTTACATTTTTTTCATTTCATTCATGTATGATTCCACATGATACTAAAGAGAGAGCACAGAAAGTTATCCGTAAGAAGCAAGGAAAATTGTAGCATATGTTGTGTTTAACTATTGCACTTGTGAGATGATTTCAGCAGGGAGTTCAGTCATCGAGTAAAGTCGGTGTCAATGGCAAAATTTAGTGCTGAGGAAGTCAGATCTTTAGAAGATGGAGGAAACAAGGTTGGGATATACACTGCTTCTTTTCTCCTTTATCATCATCTATCAGTTTTATTGCTAAAGCATATATAATAATATTGACAGCGAGCAAGAGAGATATATTTCAAAACATGGGACCCGCAGATTAATTCGTCACCAGATGGCAGGTGGTGCATACTTCGAATTTGTTCATTTCTGTTGGTATTTAAAGAAATTGGACCTAATGTCTGTTGTCTTTGCATTTCAGTAATCTTATGAAACTTCGGAATTTTATTAAGCATGTCTACATAGAGAGGAGATTTACCGGTGAAAAGAGTTCAGATAAACTTGCTTTCCTTAAAATGGTAAGCCTTTCATTTATTATGTGCAATTATTCCACTTATTTCCTTCACCAAAGATTCATGTGTATCAAACTTGTAGTTGTAGAGAAGGAAAGTAGAGGACTTTGTATTGATCGAGTCAATGAAACTAAATACACTGGAGAATCAAATATATACGAACTACCAAAGCTGCCAAAGCTAAAAGAACTGCTAACTAACAACAGATTAACTACCTGTAATCCCATTATCAAAAGACTAATTTACCCTTAGTCCAATAATATGTTTCTTTAACATATAACTTCAAAGGAGTTTCATCTTGCAATCTGGAGCAACTGTTATTGACAAGAGTGTATTATACTATAACATCACAAGAAGGCCTAAATTTGTTTCTTTTGGTATGTTACAGGAATTAAAGGATGGCTTCTTTGAGAAGTCTTCCTATGGTAGATGCAGTACTGGTCGTAGGGATGAGTACTATAAGAAGCATTCTTCCATTAGATCGTACTCGAGAGGAGGCCATGAACCAAGAAGTGTAATGAATTCTGTAGAGGGAAAAAGTCCTTGGTACCAAGAAAATGGGACCCCTTGTGCTCGTCGAACTCGTTCATGTGCTCGCTTTGATATCATAGATGACAGATTCCGTGATAATGATTATGGGAAAGTGACAATGCATGAAAGGCACCGGTTTACTGGCTCACTGCAGAGGGGAGTGAGTTTATCACCAGATATTCTCACAAGTACTGAGACTACTCCCTGGGAGGTACAATATGTCAAAGAGATTTGTGGTGATAGAATTCCAAGTCTGAAGCTAGGAGAAGCTATCAAAGAAAAAGAAAAGGTTCATGATCATACTCATGCTGAGATAAGACTTTTGCTCAAGTATTGGACCTAAATTTTCTGTACTTATTATGTCTCAAGATAACTGCAACTTTGTTTATCCATGATTGCTACAACTTGTATCATCCTGTCACCCAACACAAGTATTTGATTTTTGGGTTGCTTCTGATTCATGATTGAAAATAGATAAAGGATTTCATTGTTTTCTATCACAATCCATCCTACTTAAAAAGGGAAAACCTTTTAAATATTCGTCTTACTTAATGCAGAAGGTAGCAGAGACCAGTAGTCCAGCATCTACCAATGGGAAACAGGAGGTACAGAAAATAGAAAGATCAAATAGCATGATTGATACAAAAGTCAAAGCTGATGCTGCACCTGAAAGCTCCAATGCGTCAGTGTCATCAAACAGATACGAAGTAGTCCAGTCAAGTAATAGAGGGAATTCGTTGTTTTTCTCCTCAACACAGCAAAGGTCTCCAGAAAAGGCTTCCAAACCTCCAAGTGTGAATTTTGTCGAAGTATTATTGCTTGAATTGGCAAGTCCGGTGGTTGTGCCTGTAGGCAGCACATCTGAAGTACCAAGCAGTGTTGATGCTTTATCGACCACACCTGCAACATTATCAAATGGTGTTAATACTAGTGCAACTGCATCTAACATGGGATTACTAGCATTGCCTAGTAGTGGCGGAGATTCATTGGATGAGGTTGCTAATGGTAAACATTTACTTGAGACAAAGCAGCATCAGCCTTCTGCATCTTCGACTGTAGACAGTAGCTCAACTGACAGACAGAGTTCTCTTCCTATTGAAACTTCCTCTAATAAGGCAAGGATCATTCCGACTTCTTGTTACAGATCCCACTCATCAATTTTTTTTGTTGAATTTAAGTTTTAAAAAGGGATGACCTATAATGCAAGTATTATAACTATAACAGAACTCAATCAACTAGTGGAATTCACATTGCAGTAAAATACCTAAACTTAAGTAGTGAATTAGTGGTTTAAATGGTGAAAAGTTTAGGATCTGAGTGGAATTAACCTGCATTAACTCCACCAGACATGAAATGAGCTATGATTGTAAAAAGTTTCATACTTGTTAGAAAATAGATTAATACCACCTCTTAATACAGGTTTAATGTCGGTTATTAACTTCATTATTTTATGTTTGGCCCTTTGGCCACTATTGTACTTGTACGCATTGCCTTTTCAGGAATGCTATAGTACAACTTTGGCCCTAACTTCTTCGGGTTTTAGGTTAAGACATGGACATACATGCGAGGGTGTTATCAAGAAGCACTTAGTATCAACAGTTAAATAAAGGTTTCTCTTTTCATTCATGTATCTTTATTTGAAGTTAGGGTTGTTCACCCACCACTTTCTGCAACTGATAATGCTTGTTGTTGCATCCATATGATACTGTTTTATAAACCCAATCGCTACCGCTCAAAGAGTCACTGCAATAACCACAAGGGTGGTGCCTAATTGGTTTGAGCTTGGCTCCAAAGGTCAAAAGTGCCAGGAGGTTCAAGGTTCAAATCCAAGGAGGAACAAAAATCCCCTTGTGGCCATGGAGGTTCAAATACGGTTACTTCGGGCCACGTGCAAAGCAGGTAATCGCCCTGGGATTAGTCGGCTCGCATAGCGGGTTGGATATCCAGGTTAATAAAAAAAAAGTCACTGCAACCTGGTTGGATTCTTAATAGTAGTCTTATGGGCTGGAGTTACAACCAAACTTTTCTAAGAAGAGAATACCTAAGTTAGRAGGAGTTCCTTTAAGAAATCTTTCAGGTTTGATGGAGTAATATTAAAACGTATTCCATTCAATGGTGGGCCTACAACTTAAACAAACACTAATTGGTTTCAACATTTAAGGGAAATGGGTTAAATAACCAACTCAATAGATTATGCGTATACAACCAAAGGTCAACATATCAATAATAAAGATCCTAATGTATATTCGTTTACAAAGAGTAATGCGTGAGTGAGAACTCCTACCCAACCTCAAAATTAGCACTTCTAATAAGTCATTGTTATCCTGAAACAAAAAGATGCATGTAATTATCGCAATAGGCTTCCAAATACAGCAACCTATTTTCCAAGCAGCATTTAGTTTATAGAAGTTAACCTTGGTTTCTTTCTGTATTTACAGAACTTGTGTCCATCAGCTGCACAAAATTTGCAACCTCAAGTTCTATCTTATCAGGCAAGCAAATTTTTATGCATCTTCTATCTTATGAGTTTTTATTTTAGAACTCACATCAACTGTCAGAAAATTAGACTAGGAAAAATGGCATATGCTTCATGGTTGGATAAATTAGAATGCAATTCAATGTACATGAATAAGAGAAGAAAAAACAGGTGATGCAGGTTTTGGTTGAATTCAGGAACTTTTAAGATCCCTAAAAGCGAACCATGAAATATGTCCAAATGCGATATACTGGCTAGCCACAAACTTATGAGTATTTGCATTATTTATTACATTCAGTTCATGAATCGACGTGCATGAATGTTCCTTGTCAAAGTGAATGAGTTAGTAAGAACGAGAGGCAGAAGATATTGAATAGATTGGAAATGCTTTCTTTTATATTCAATCAAGACATACAACACCAAAATGTACAGAAAATGTGCACCACCAAACAATTCTACAACAGAAAATGTACCACACCAAAACACCGGTGAAACAAACCATGTACAACAAGGAACAGCCGAACAGCATAGAGTATTACAAGTATTACTAGCAGAGGTACTACTACTAAGGATTGCACTTGATCATGGAAACCATAAAGAACTTCACTTCTTTTTTCTTTTAACATGATGACTTCTCAAACAACAAACAATTTGAATTAACTTATAATTTGTTTTGCTCATGGGTACAGCTATCATGGCCTTCACCTGCATTAACTTCTCAAGCACAAACTTCACCTAATCAGGCAAGGAATTTTCTTCTTCGTTTGCTTCTTTTATTGTACAAAACTTATTAATGATATCAATGAACCAATTTTTTCTAGTCATGTGATTCAAGCAACTGATAGGATTATACTTTCTGAATAGATTATGATTCTATAACCTCTCAAGAGCACATGTAACATTAAGGACTGCATCACAAAATAGTAAATTAGGTTGAGTTGGACAAACAACTATAAATGACCTCTAAGAACATGCAGAAAATTAATCAACTGTCCTATCCTTTTCTGTGCCCTTCGCCCAATTTATACGAACAAACTGAAGAAGTTAACATATATTGCTAACTGTGCGTTCAGCATTCATGGCCTTCACCAGAATCAAATTATCAATCTGCCTCAAATTCTCAACCAGCACCAAATTCTGAAGCATCAATTTCTTCGAATTCTTCGTCAGGACAATTCTCTCATGTTGCTGATAAGCTTCCTTTGGATAATAATCTGGCAGATGCATCAATACCTGCCGCAAGAAAGGAACTACCAGCGGTAATAGCTAGCAATTTGGTTAGAATCAGCATGTCCCCTGCAAAGTTTTCTTCTTGATGTTAACTTATTTCCATTTCAGGACATTTTCACGTCGCCGTATTCATTATACCCTGCATCAGTTCCTTACGGGCAGTTTCATCCAGCTCAACAAATGTGGATGGGCATGGGAATGCATTACCATCCCAGTCCTGTGGTATCTCAACCTTCTTATTACTGAGTGCATGCATCATTATTGGATTAAGAATGTTCTAATGTGAGACCGAAAATATATTTACAGCCGCCGTCTGTTCTTGCCGGTGGATCTCAATCAATGACCCCTTTTGACATTGATGATGATGCTCCCCAAGCACAAAACCCGATGGTATTAATTGCATCCTTTCATAAATTTCATATGCATGAATGGAAAACCCTGAAAGTTCATTCTAGTAGACAAGAAATTGAATTGTTGGATGGTACCAGATTCCTCGTTGCAAGGATTTAAAATTTAGAATTTCATGGAACAGATCGTTTATTTGAAATTTGAATGTTGAGCTATATGTTTTGTTGTGATTTAGTTTCCCTACATGGTACCAATGCAAGGAGCACTTCCACCCTTATCGGCTCAGATGGGGTTATATTCTCAGCCATCACCTTTGCCTCATCAACAGTTAGCTTCATATGGTTTGGCTATTTCTCCTGGTAAATGACATTATAAACGTTGTGAATAAATATATTTAAAGTCAAACTAAACTGACCAAGTAATCCTACTGGAAAGTAGGATCCGGATGAGATTTTTGCAGACGTGACCTCTATTAAAAGTGTGATTATGTGTGTGTGTGTAATTCAATTCCAACATGTTGAAATTGTTTTACATTACTGCAGGAACAGACATGGGACGACAACCTCTGAATAGCATGCAAATTTCCAGGTAATGGGTTTCATTGGATTCCCTCTAGAAGTTTTTGGTTCACATATTTGCCTAAGTGACTTTCAAATGAAACCTTCAAAATCCCACTCAAGTGCTTGAAGATTGATGATTTGAACCCCATATAACAGTAAACACAAGAATTGTGTTCAATTGAATATCATATGTTTGTCAGATTAACGTTAAAGGATAATCATCGGATAACAAATTTCACATTACACATATAATTTAGGATATTTTATATGATATAGTGGTGTACACATCAGATAGAAAAATTAGGATGGTAATATTAAATTTTGATGTCAATATATTGACGTGTTTTAACATAACCTTACCTAAACATTAGGAGACAATAAGCAAACAAATTTTGATTTTTATGGTTTATGTAAACAAGAAATTAAACAAATAAAAATGGAGACCGATAGCAATAAATGAAGGAAACTAAACTAATTAATTAACTACACAAGGTATCACTAATCTAGACTATTTAAATGTAGGAAGAACTACTTTATATTGATTTCAGATCTGTTAAGATAAAGTTCCTCATAAGCCGGTTAGTAATGTATAACCCTACTTTTCGTAAATAAAATTCATGACCCAACATTCAAATATACAACGATCACATGATTGGCTTTTCGGCATTACCCAAACAATCTCCTACTTGAGCTAAAGTTAATAGTCCATGTATATATGATATACAAAACAATCTATAGTGTCCCTCAAGCTTCTACTGTGTTAGGGGCTTTGGTAGTGGATCAATAAAGTTGTTGTCAGTGCGTAGTCTTGTACATTGTAACATCTCGTCTTGATAATTTTCTTGATGAGGTGATATCCTCTAAGGATATTTTTGGTTGTTGAGATCTAGATTCAATTCTTTTACCTACAATATAGCTCCATTATTGTCGCACAACAACTCCATAGGACTCTCATAGTTAGAAACAACTCGAAGTTGAGAAACGAACTCTTTGAACCAGACGGATTCCCTATCTGCATTAGATGTTATGATGTGCTCGGTTTCCGTTGTAGAATCAAACATCATCTCCTACTTGAAAATATCCTGGCTTATAGTGCCACCATTTAGGCAAAACACGAAACCTAATTGCGATCAAATGCCATCCTTGTTGATTTAAAACCTTGCATTAGTGTAAGAATGAATGTCGGTAAAGGTCCGCTCGATTTTGATTTGCAACGGTTTTTTCATGTTTTCAAAGAGTTGAACAATGCAAATATCTATGCTTCTTCTTAAATACTTTAGCATTATCTTGACGACAATCAAGTGACTTTCACCTAGATTAAATTGTGTGTCCACAATCACTGATCAATTCTTCATATTAAGCTCTATCCATGGCAGATTCAAGATAAACATTCAAGAACACTTTATGAATATTGAGAGAGAAAGTCAATCCTCTCAATTCAGTCAAACCTCTTATTACGAATCTGAATATTACAATTAGCTCACTTACTCTAATTACAAAGATTACCACCCTATTTATATGGTCAACATATTAATACAAAGTCAAAGTCAAACTAGTCTAAGAAAGTCAAACACGCTGACTTTTACAATTATAGACTAAAATTAATCTTTCAAGACGAATACAATTAATACTGATTTCTCAGTCCTAACATTCTCCCCCTTTGTATTTAGACTTGAAAGAAAATTCTGCACGTTGAGTCCTGTTTGAACTTTGAAACAAAATGCACAAAATGTCATCTTCAAATGAAATCTTCAGCTTGTAATCTTCAAACGATCAACTGTTGAGAAAGATCTTCTAGCATTCTCCCCCTCGAATGTAGAATCACGGTGATCTTCTCTTTTGACAATGTAAATCAAAAACGATCTTCAGAAACACTTTACAAGATGTGATCTTCAAAGAATTTTCAAAATCAAACTTCAGTAAACTATTGTGAAGAAGATCTTCACATTCAACATCTCTCAGTCAATTTAACACACAAATAATCATTCTTTAAACATCTTCAGTCGCACTTCTTCTTTTGAGTCTTTTGCCACTTCTGAAAGTTACTCCCCCTTGATATTTGCATCAAATCTCCTTTAACAATGTTCGGAAATGAATATTTCATTCATATTACATATACTCCCC